AAAGAATCTACCTGTTTAAAGGATTTAATAAGTTCTGAAGTGATGAAAAGTCAGTAATAACTAGGATTCTTCAGTGCTTCTCTGCCTAGAAGAAAACAAGCACCAAATTTCATATATGAAACTTTTCCTGCCCTGGGAAGGAAAAAAAAATTGAACAACCCCCACCGCCCTTTAGTTTTTTTTCTTTACATTTGCATCATGTGCTTTACAGTTATATCATCTGCTACCTATTATGGAAACATTTGACTTCCTCAGGTGCCAAAATGTTTTATAGCTTTCTGCTAAAACTGTTTGAACTGTGATAGTTGAAATAATGGCTATTATATCTACATTTTCTACTGGTAGTAAGAATTCATCATATATGGAAGAATGTATAAAGTAATATTTAGCTGTTTTTCTTACAACTTTAAATATAATTTAGAAACTTGAAGCTGATAATTTGCATCTTCCATTTATAGATTTTAAAATTGACTCCAGATAAGGCTGCACTCCCACTGAAGGAATAGGATCAAATTTTTAAAAATCAAATGTAATGAACATCTTCAACTGCTTCTCTTCTCTGTTCTGTCCTCTTATACCAGTGGTGGCGAACCTATGGCACGGGTGCCAGAGGCGGCACTCAGAGCCCTCTCTGTGGGCACGCGCGCCATTGCCCCAGTCCTAGGCCTTCAGCTGGGTTTTATAAAACCTTTTTGCTTTAGGCCTCTGCCGCTGTGTAAAAAAAAAAAGGTTCAATCAATCAGTCAATTTCAACTTCTCATGGGGAAAAAAAAGATCTTGCAAAGTTGGAATTGATTGATTGAACTTTTCAGTCCCACTCAGTCCGCTGTTACCACCGCAGCCACACCCAGCCAATGGGCCACACCCAGCCAATGGGCCACACCCACTGGCACCCGACGATGCATAAGTGGGTTTTGGGTTGCAGTTTGGGCACTCAGTCTCTAAAAGGTTCGACATCACTGTCTTATACAGATGTTAATCTGGATGAAAACAGGATAAATGTGTTGCTTCTGAAAGATGGTTTCTGGTAATCTGAAATATTTCAGGCTACTAATTTCATTTCCACATTTATTTTTAAAAATCATCCTTCATTTCAGTAGTAGCCAATTTGTGTAGTTTGACCAGTTCTTTTCTAAAAACTTCCAATGTTATTCTCCACCAGTTGATAGAAATGGCAATCTAATGTTCAGTAATTGCTTTGAATGCCTTCTGTTTCAGGAGGGAAGGAAAAAAGGTAATATTGTACTTTAAGCTAAAGTCTGATGGCCCTGTTTTTGGTGTGTTTACAGAACAAATCATTTGTTAGAATATTTTTAAATAACACTTTAATATTGATTCCTACTAGTGCTTTCTGATAAAAAGATAATAAAAGGATGCAAGAAACAAATAATGTTGCAGTAGACTATGCTGAACCACTGATAACCTTGAATATATTGTTCTTTCTCATCCTTGAAATTATCTTCAAAATACCCAAATATTATGTTTTTTGAAGTTTCACTTCTGTAGCTGGCTACGTGGATTGTATCATAGCGTTTGGGCTTTAATATCTTCTATTTTTTAAGTACATTTTTATTTCTCAAAGGTAAATTTGAAGAGTTTATTTTCAAAATATTTCTCAGTTACCAAAGTGATTTACAGCTTGATCACAGAATATTATTACCGTGTTTCCCCAAAAGTAAGGCCTACCCTGAAAGTAAGCCCTAGCTTGATTAGGGCCTAGTATAAGCCCTACCTCAAAAATAAGCCCTAGTTTTGAAGTAAGGCGCATGCCTAAAAATCAAGCGGGGGTGGGGGTGGAGCTTGATTACCAGGCCTCCCATGAATCAACACCTGCCTCTCCTCGCTGGTCTACTTCTGCGGCATCCCCTGGCCTGCATTTCACAGTCAGAGGCCTTTCCAGATGGCCTCTGCAGCTGAGAACTGAGCTATGGATTCAAGTGGCAAAATGCAGGCGGGAACTCCATTCTCAGCTGCAGAATGAAGGTGCTCCTTCGGCCGCAGAAGAAGTGGGCCAGCTGGGCAGGGCTGTTGGTGCTGCCACCGCGAGGTGAGTGGAAAAGATACCCCCCCCAAAATAAGACTAGTGCCTCTTTTGGAGGCAAAATAAAAATAAGTCCGGGTCTTATTTGGGGGGAAACATGGTAATTTGAATATAGTGATGAGTTATCAAAAGGCACACAATATAATTGTAATACCTGTAGAGCAGGGGTGTCAAACTGCTGGCCTGCGGGCCGGATGCGTCATGCCAAAACCGCGCCCACCCCATTGCTGGCAATGGAAAAAAAGTTGCAATACATTGCGACATGTCGTGTGACGTTGCGAGTTTGACACCCCTGCTGTATAGGGATAACATCATTAGATGAAAGGTTGGTTGTCTCAAACGTTCCGTCCCAGTAACCTCCTACATCGACACAGAGGGTAACTCTTCTTGTAGTCTTGGTGCAGCATCTTTGTAGTTACTGCTGCTGTTATCTTTCTTCCAGAGGGGTGCTGCATTTGACATCCTTCCCCTAATTTCAGCATTTGAATAAAATGGAACTCCTATGAGCCCTTTTTTACATATATTCTTTGCTTTTTTGTATATTCTTTCTTTTTCAGTACTTTTTAACTATACTTGATATTAAAAATAATAAAACAGATTTTTTAAAAGAAAAACTTAGGATCTTAAGATTTGTTAAGTTCAAAAGTATTTAACATTGCTTTAGGAATATCTTAATTATTTCTGGTTATGAATAGGTATAGATAGATCTTATTATATTTGTATATGAAATTACATATGTTGGGAGTTATGACACGTCTACTAGCTAACGTTACCTTAATCTTGCCACTTGAACGTTTTTATGTTTGAAAATATGCATGTGTATTTTGAACTTAAGATAAAATTTAGACTTTGACCAGTCTTGTCAAATGCATAAGAATAAGATACTTTTAGTTTTGCTTATTACAGAGGCTTTGAAGAGAATTGATAGAAGAAATGCATGTTCTCTCAGGATGACATAGCAAGCTTAGAAATTTAGAATTCTTAATACAGTAATGAATCAATAATGTGATTATTAAGTAAAAAACTTGATAATTATTTACAGACATTTCCTTACATCTATTAGTTTAACAAAAATTAGAGTAGTAACCTTCTTCAATCTTAAGACCTAATCAAATTTATTTGAAGAGCATAATTATTATGATTCTTCTCCATACTGTATTTTTTCTTGGGAACATTTTGTAGCTTCCAATGTAACTGTAGAACATGTTGTAGTGAGAGAATCCTATCTAAAAATTCCAGAATGTAGTTAAAATTAGTTCAAGCTATTTTATAGAATAACACTTAGGAATTAACATTGCTAAGCTTTCCTAGATAACTGAACTTTACATTTCTATTGGAACTCTTGATGGAGATAATGCTACATCTATAGTACTCTTGGGTGACTATATTCCATGATACTTTACTTTCCTTAATTATTATGTATGAAACTAATATTTCAGTAATATTTACAACAGGCAGATGGTTCATATGGGACAATTCACAAATGAATTGTTCAGGCATGATTCTCTCTACCCTGCAAGAAAACTAGCCAGCTTCAGTATTGAATCAGAGCTAGTATCAGTATGCTCATAGGAAAACCACAAAGTGGTCCATCATCAGGGATTAGATTTTAAATTCTGAAAATAAAAACAAGAACCCATCATTGCCCCATGGTAATTTTAGCAAGTTATGTTTTGTAGCTCTCCTTGCATGTCCTACTGAGTCATGGGCTATCATCACATGACATTTATCCATGGTTAACTAAAGTTGACCCATTTGGGGGGGGGGCTAACATAATTTAACTCTACCTGGACTGAATTTGTGTGACTTGAATTGGGATTTTATGATACACTATATTTTTGTATGATTCAGTGTAGTTTGTAGACACTTTTATATACCTCTGAAGGAAAAAGTTTCACTATATACAAGTCTTTCTCATTCATCAGTGTTTTTTAAGTTTTAAGCATTTGGTATCAGAATATGAATGCTTGAATTAAAAACTGAAGCATTGTAACATCCTTGCAATCTTTGTCCATGCTGGATTATTATTTGACTGGGAGACTTACAGTAAATATCAAGCTAGAGTAGAAAATTAAGGAAATAATAATAGAAGAATGCAATGGTAAATCATTTCAAGTTTTTGAAAATAATGCCATAATCATGAAATCACCAGGTATTGAGTTCACTTTGAAGGAGACTTTATCTTATCATTGTTTTACTTATTTTTCAAGATAGTTTCAACATACATGTTCAATATACAGTATATAATAATTTACAAATTTAGAAATGAAAAATCTAGGGTATTTGTTTCTGAATTTAGAAATTTATCCATGAGATTACTACATTTTAATTTTGTCTCATTTTTATAAGTCTTCATTTTTTTCTTGCCTTATCATTGTTTTACTTATTTTCAAAGATAGTTTTGACATACATGTTCAATATATAGTGTATAATAATTTACAAATTTAAAAATGGAAAATAGTATTTGTTCTTGGATTTAGAAATTTTATTGCAAGATTACTACATTTTAGTCTTACCTCATTTTTATGTCTTTGTTTCTTCTTATCACCTGCTATTGAAATTTGATTTCATGCATATACATGTGAAAAATTAAGAACATCATTTTTACAAAGTATTTTTTTATAATGGCATCTCAAAAATGATTTTTTGCATACATGTTTCCCCTGAAAATGCATTAATTGAATAGCAATTGAGAAAAGGTAGGGGGAAAATAAATGTAGGAGAATGTATATTTGGGGCTTTCTAAGAGAAAGCTTAAGAGAATTTGAAAGTGTTTCCATTAAACATCACTTTAGCTTTAAATAGTGTATTATATTTGAAGTACTCCAAATTTACAAATCAATCTATTCTAATCTGTTGGAATACCTCTGAAACATGAGTTATTTTCATCTATTTTAAATTTGTGTAAGGGACCATTATTTTAATTAAGTCTGTTCTTCCCTTCTGTTTCTGCATAGTCATGGAATGGGGAGATGATATTAGAACAGTTTCAGAAGATGAAGCTTTGATGCTGGTGAATCATCAAGCAACCGGAGATATTTGCACCCTAATGATGTGCCTTCAAGACAAAGGCACGGTATGCTACTTTGATAGATATTGTTGATATGCTGTACTTGTTGAACAATCTGGGTAATTTTTTCAGAAATATAACATTAGAGAACCAATACACAAAATCTATGTCAATCCAATACTTTAATCATATTTTTTATTTCTGTATCTTCTCACATCAACTTACATTATTTACCGTGTTTCCCCAAAAATAAGACCCAATCTTATTTTTTATTTTTTATTTTGTCTCCAAAAGAGGCACCAGTTTTTATTTTTGGGGGATGTCTTTTCCACAGACTCACCTCGTGACTGGCCCGCTTCTTCTGCGGCTGCTTGCCGCTGTTCGCATGCTTTGCCCCCGGCCTACATTTCACCGTCAGGCCTTCAGGGGGTGCCGCATGCGTCAATCCAGAATTCGGTTCTTGGCTGTGGAGGCCTTTCCTGAAGGCCTCTGACAGCAAAATGAAGCCCAGGGGTGACATGTGCATCAATTCAGAGTTCCATTCTCAGCTGCTGAGGCATTTCCTGAAGGCCTCTGACAGTGAAATGGAGTCCGGGGGTGACGCACTTGACCGACGGCAAGGGCCACAGAAGAAGTGGACTGGCGAGGCAGGTGTCGGGGTATGGGAGGCCTGGCTGCAACAGTAAGCAGGTGTGCGGAGTGTGGGATAGCTCCATCCCTGCCCTAGCTTGATTTTTAGGCATGCGCCTCGCCCTAAAACTAGGGCTTATTTTCGGGATAGGGCTTATATTACCCCCCCCCCCAATCAAGCTAGGGCTTATTTTCGTGGTAGGTCTGATTTTTGGGGAAACACGGTACATGTCTGTTGTAGAAGCAGGACACACAAGTGTTCAGGCAGCATTAAAGTCTGTCTGTCTATATCTGTCTATCCATACCTACCTACCTACCTGCTCTGATGTACAGCCGTGATAATAAATAAAAATTTACAACCATTGTGACTGAAGTTAGAAATGGCATTGAAAAAAAGTGAATTCTGACCATTTTTCATACTTATGACCATTGTAGCATCTCCATGGTCATGTGATAAAAAGTTGGATGTTTGGCATTATATATTTATAATGGTTGCAATTTCCCAGGGTCATGTGATCACCTTTTGCAACCTGACAAGCAAAGTCAATGTAGAAAGCAGATTCACTTAACAATCTTGTTTCTAACTTAACAACTGCAGTGATTCACTTAACAACTATGGCAAGAAAGGTCGTAAAATGAGGCAAAACTGACTTAACAACTGTCCTGCTTAGCAATGGAAATGTTGGGTTCAGTTGTGTTCATAAGTAGAGGACTACTTGTATTGAAGTTAAAATAGACATGTAAAGAACAAAATAATCAAATCATTGGACAGTTAAGAGTCTGATGGAAGCCATGCATCTTTACAAATTTCCTAAGCCCTGAAAGATTTGGGGCCAGGTGTAAATGCTAAGGGAGTGAATGCAGTTACAGCTGAGTTTCAAGAAAGATTCCCACATAAGGGTTCTGATCTTTTAAGGCAGGGTTCCCTAAGCCGCAGTCCATAGACTGGCACTGGTCCGTGACATGCCAGGAACCAGACCGCATAAATAAGTGAAGCCCCATCCACGGGATGCAGGCAGCATGCGAAACCACGCCCCCTCCAGTCCACAGAAAAACCTTTCTCCATGGAACTGGTCCCTGATGTCCAAAAGGTTGCAGGCCACTGTTATAAGGAAAATGTAATTTTATTCAGGAGGTTGAACCTCAGTCCCCAAGTCCTGTTTACAATCTTTTCATCTTGTCTTCATCTAATTCAGCTGGTTCTCTTTTTTTCTTTCACCCATCCCATTTTTGAACTTAAGAAACATGCAAAAGTACTGATGGAATTTAGTAGTAGAAAGCCATAGAGTTGGGTATCATTAGTGTAATATCGCTTCCCTCCTTAACAACCTGCACATCTTGGGTTTATAGTGGCAACTGGGACTACCTGGATTGCCATTGCTAAATGATGTGGTCATGCATTATATTCACATTGCTTAGCAACAGCAACAGCAATCCCAGATACAGTTGCTGTTGAAACTTGAGGATTATCTGAACTATTTTACGTATATCTGTTTTTGTTTTATATTTTTATATCGGGAGACTGGTGACTGGCAATTAGATACCTTAATTTGGTCCTCATCTTTTTTCTTATCTCATTTTTGTAGCATAAGAAATTATATCATTCAAAATGGGACAAATAAAATACAGGTTGTCCTCGACTTACAACCACAATTGAGCCCAAAATTTCTGTTGTAAAGTGAGACATTTATTAAGTGAGTTTTGCTCCATTTTACAATGTTTCTTGCCACAGTTGTTAAGTGAATCACTGCAGTTGTTTAGTTACTAACCTGGTTGTTAAATGAATCTGGCTACCCTATTGACTGCTTGTCAGAAGGTCACAAAAGGTGATCACATAACCCTGGAACATTGCAACCGTCAGAAATATGAACCAGTCATAAGTCACTTTTTTCAGTGCCACTGTAACTTTGAACGGTCACTAAATGAACTGTTATAAGTCGAGAACTACCTGTAGAGAACCTGTAGACTACCTGTAGAGAACATATAATGGCATGTTTAAAATGAATGTGATGGGTATAATACAAGAATTAGGTTAACTTTATCAACTTTGTTCATCTACAAACACTTTAAAAATTAAGTTAACATTGTAAATGAATGCTTTCTAAAATAGAAATGTTTAAAGATCTTAAAAAGTATTATTTGACAGGTATATTTTTTGAATAATCAATATAGTTTTGCAAATCCTGTTTACATCTACATATTTGCTTTTTCTTACCTTAAAATAGATTTTGTGAGAGCTTTAAAAATGTTAACTAATGAAAGTAGATTTTAAATAAATGATTTAAATGATTTAGATAAATCATATCCAAGATATTGAAGAAATGGCTATCTATTTTATATAAAGTGAAAATAAGGATTTTAGAAAGAAGGAGAAATATACTGAGAGAATGTTGTTTTAGTAAATACTTCTTGAAAGCTAGTAAGCGTTTATCTCTAAGGATGCAATTTGTATTCAGTTTTCTATTTAATAGCAAAAATATTTTTTGTATTTTTTTATACATTTGTTTCTATGGAACAGAAAACCCCTCTCAGATTTTTGTTTTGTTTATATGCAGAATGCACACTATTTCTTATCTCAATTTTCCCAGGTTGTTCGTCGGATGATGTGGCTGATGGATCATATATTTAAATACACAAATTTTGGAATTGTATCTCTGATTCATGGAGACTTCTTTATAAGACAGGCAAGAATTACAAATATTTTAATAGTAAAATCTGCTTTCCTAAATATTTATTTGCACCTTGCTATGATTGTCAGTGTATATGAAGAGCCTTGGTGGCGCAATGGTTAGAATGCAGTATTGCAGGCTAATTCTGCTCACAGCCTGGAGTTCAATCCTGATAGGCTCAAGGTTGATTCAGCCTTCCATCCTTCCAAGGTCGGTAAAAGGAGGACCCCAATTGTTGAGGGCAATATACTGACATTGTAAACCAGCCAGAGAGTGCTGTAAAATACTGTGGGACAGTGTATAAGTCTAAGTGCTATTGTGTTGATATTGCTATATATTAAATTGAAATCCATTTCAAATAGTGTCAACAATTAATGAAAAAATTAACAGAATGTGGAGAAACACATAGTAACTTCTAAGAATACCCGTTTGATTTTATGTGTACTGTAGATTTGTGCCATTTATTTTGTTCACCCAACTAGAAATACCAGACCCCTGTTTACAGCAAACTATGGTTTTGGGGGGATTGGAGTACATGGTTTGCCACAAGTTTCTAATCTAGTGTGAGATAGAAACAAGTGAATCCAAATGTTTTAAATATGCTATTAATCCCTATTTTGGCTTTGTCTGAATGACTTCTCCATATGCCAGGTGTGTCCCGTAGTTATTTATTTAAAACATTTATATAACCACCCACCTTTCAGGCAACTCTGGGCAACTCATTTTAAAAACTGTGAAACACACTTATCTAAGAGTTTAGTGTTTACACATATAGATGATTTTTTGGAATTGAAGTGGAACAGAATATTTTGCATCCTTAAATGTCAGGGAATCAAAAATTGTAATAATGTATCATTGATATATAAAACATTTATATTCTTCATAGAATTATAGATTTGGAAAGGATTGTTTAAGCTGTAAAATTCATCTCTCATAAATCTGCATAGTAGACATGTCAGGAAAAATGCTGAATGGAGTGACTTTTCTGGTTTTATAGGCTTTTGCAAATACCTTTATTTAATTATTGATTTAGCAAATTCTAAGATACAGTATATTATTAGATAGCCAACAATCAACCAACCGTATATATTTCAGAGAATACTACTGATGCAGATGCAATATTCTGCTTTTTGGAAATTGTTTTCTGCTGTTCAACAGTGTTTGCAGAAAAAGAAAGTGAAAGTCAGAAAAAGTGATAAGGACAAGCACCCTATTAACTTCAAAAGGATTAAGATGAACATGTAGGCCAGTGCTGGCGAACCTGTGGCACGCGTGCCAGAGGTGGCACTCAGAGCCCTCTCTGTGGGCACACGTGCCGTTGCCCCAGCCTCACCTCCCCCCACGACCCCCTCATCAGCAGCCCCCCTGGAGGAGAGTCGCCCCCGAGAGTGGCCCACACGGAGCAGCGCAGCCAAGGACATGGCAGCCAGGCAGCGTAGACAAGACTCTGCCCTCATGCCTCATCCCATACAGTTGATGCTGCGGGGCTCAGGCAGAGGGCGTGGCCGCCATGGTGCTGCTGGGCTGCCTGGGCGATCTGTGGCGGGCCCTGGAGGCGGTGAATGGCCCTGCGGGCAGGCGGGTGGGGGACAGAGTGGGGGTGGGGCAGGGGGTGGAGCGGGGGCTGGGGCAGTTTTTGGGCACTCGGTCTCTAAAAGGTTCGCCATCACTGATGTAGGCTATAAGTTAAAGACAAAAAAATGGTCCCTGGAGAAAGAAGAGTGAGTTGAAAAATAACATTTCCCAATGGACCATTTTAGAGAATAGCTGGAGAATGGAAGTAGCCTAGATCCAGACCACAAGGTTCNAATGGACAGTTTAGAAGTTTTGAATATTTCCATTTGGCTAGAAATTGTTGAGCTTGGGAGACTCAGCAATTAGTTATAAAGGTAGCAGCAAAAGAAATAATGACAGGAACATATTTTGATTTTATATCCCCAAATATAAAAGATGATGTCAATGGGGGAGTATAGAGGGCATAGGGAATGACCTTGAAGGAAGGAGGAAAATATCGGAGCAATGGACAGATAAGAGGGGATTGCATAAACATATCAGGCAGGCCCCTCCCTTCCTAACAAGAAGATAAAAATGGAGGAGGACATTCATCTGTTAAAATAAAAATCTTGATCTATGTGGCATTGTTTTTTTAGTCTAGTCTACCTTGTTTGGCTACAGGGAGAAATGGAAGAATGATTAGTTCACAGATAATTAAATTTCCTGTTCTCTGGGAAGTTTACTTTTAACTGGATTAGTGCGGAACAAGTTTATGAAATGATAAGACTGATTAGATTGTCTTTATTTACTCTGTTGAGCAGATTCTGTGTTCACTTTTTCCTTTTTTTTTTTAAATTAAGATTAAAAGAGCTACTTTTTTAAACATAAAGCTCATCTCATGATGCTTTTTCAGCTTTTGGATGTTTTTTCTAGGATAAGGAAGGGGCAGAATTATTTCTAAAATTGAAGCTTCGTGCATAAGTCCACTTATAAGAAGTGATTCAATCTTTGCCCATCTGCTAACGTGAACCTTAGTACTAGGAAACTTAGAAAAATGCATAAGAAAGAAAAAGTTTTAAATTTGCATAATTTCTGTAAATCATTTTTAACTAAATATAGTGCTTACCTCTGTGAAAATCAAATTACATATAATTATACTGTCTGCTAATCGTTTTATATATCTGCAGCTCTCCCCTATGAATGATGTCCTTACCTCTGTGTTCATACTTCCTAGGACCAGAATAAGATTGCATTCTTTCTATTGTCCATATATTCTTACCTTAATGTTATTTATTTCATTTGTGTCCTATCACAATCCCACAAGACTCTGATTGCTTTATGGGAATACAACAATTAATGCAAAGTTGGTGTGCAGTCATCTTTACTAGTATGTACAGTTAGTGACCATTTATGAAGATTGGGAATCTGAATAATATTTTCACCAGGACGTGTGACTACCTATCAAGGTATTCTCCATGTAGCTCTCCTCAGGTGCCACTGTCGGCATCTGAGGAGGTTCCCTTTTCAGTTTCCTTGAGTGAAAAATCATTCTCAATCCTTCTGAGGAGTGGAGGGAATAAAGGAAGTTAAAAATAGAAAACACAAACATGTAGAATAAATCAAAATCCCTAGTGTCATATCTCAGAACACCTTCTGGAAGAGTTCTGTTTTCAGATGCATCTGTAAGGCAATTCAAATAAGTGCTTGACTAATCTCTAGTGGCAGAAACAGCACTCTGAGGTTTTTCCCCTTCCCCCTTCCCCAAACTGCTTTTTTCAAATCAACTTGATCAGTGGGTAGGTGACTACAGTCCTGAAGGTAACTTAGTGCCATAAAGGGTTCTGTAGGTCAGGATCAGCACTTAAATTTGAATGAAAGCTATCCTTTTTTCAGTTCTGTTAATAGTACTATTCTTTTACCAATTCTTGTTAGTGAAGTATAGAAATTGATATATATATATATATATATATATATATGTTTTTTGAGGTTTTCACGGGTGTTTATATGTGAGTCTTTGGTCATTCGGGTTTTCTCCCGTGTAAGATTAGAAGTATCATAGCGACGTTTCGATGAAATCACATTCATCATCATCAGGCTTGTGCTTTTAGCTTTGTGCTTCTCAGTGTAATATGAAATGTCTGCTGTTT